TTTTTCCACAAGCATGTCTTCTCGAATATGTTCGACATGCTATTATTTTGAATTATATCAAACAAGCACATCAATATCGTGTTGAAGGTTTAGAAGATGAAGCTGATGAAAACTATCTTGAAGCTAGTGATCAATGTCGTATGTTAGCAAGTGATTTAGAAGAACAATCAAGTATAATAAATGGAAGAGAAGCAACAGATGTAATTGTAAACGATTCTGAAGATGTTAGTGAATCATATCTACAATCTTTTACTAATCTTAATGAACAATAAATTTGGTTATATTTAGTATGGAATTAAGATTTCAAATATCTTTGAACATTTTTAAAAATTCGTAAATTTTTTGTAATATAGTTTTTAATTTTATTATATGAATATGTGAAAGACATGTAAAAGAAAAAGAAACAAATAATCAATAAAAAGCTTCAAAATGACTGAAATTAATTTTCCATTCATAGATTCAACTATTTCGAACATTTTGATAACAACTAAAAATTACATTCGATGTGAGAAATTAACTATGCAAAACAAAATGAAACTTATAGGCTTTTCTATACGTGATGACCAGTACAACAACAACGAAATATTCTTCTTTATGAACATATCTGATAGAATAATAAATGATTCTTTATTTCGTATATTTAAATCATGTGTGATTCTTTTCCCACATACCATTCATATCTTGTATGCACGTAGACAACTGATATGAAGTCTAATTTTATTAGACATATATATGTTTAATCACGTCCATCGATTTATCTTATTCTTTTCTTTTGTTCATTTGAAGAATACACGAACAATATCGAACATTTATTTCGTCCATACGTTCGCTCTTTATTCACTTACCGATAGTTATACTACGACATACATCATACGTAATCAGTTATTTTTCACTTATATAAAGAAGAATCATCATGTTGTACGATTTCGTAAGTGTCATAAGAAACGAAACGCGATCAAATATACGAAAAACGTGATTTTTTTTTCTAGCTTGGTGTTTATGGGAAAGTCGGTCAAAGTAGTCGAAATGTAAGTGTTTATCAAGTAATAAAGATTTTTACATATAAATTTAGGATGATGATGTCTTTGATCGGTATAGTCATCGATGGACAGTAGTTTTACTTACTATTTTTACTATTGCTATAAGTGCTAAACAATTTGTTGGTATGTTTATATTTGCATTTTTATAAATCAAACAAAATTCTTTTAATAGGTGAACCAATCGAATGTATTCCACCACCTGATTTTAGTGGAACACATAAAACATATGTTGAAAATTTTTGTTGGATTCATTATACTTATTCAAGTAAAATTTTTTTTTTGATGAAATCTGCTTAAATCTATTGTATTATTTTATAGTCGAAGATAATACAGCATTAACACGTGATTTTGTTCGTGGTGCAAATGGTTCACGAAAAACACCATATTATATTTGGATTCCATATATATTAATTGTTGCTGCTCTATGTACATATTTACCAGCATGGTTATGGCATATAATTGGTCATCGTGCAACGATTGATATTCCAGCTATGATTAATCAAGTAGCTAAAACAAATTTAACCAATACAGAAGAACGTAAAACAATGTTATTGATATTAGCAAAACATTATGAAAAAGCTCAACGATATACAAAATCAAAAGTTCATATAACCGATAACTTACTAAAACAATGTATGTCTGCTTGTATGTTTTTTGCTGGTGGTGGTGTCTTAACAGGTAAGACTTCTTCATTCAATCGAATATTTAAAATTTCGTATGATATATAGGAATTTATTTTTTTACTAAAATACTCTACTTAATTAATGCTATTGCACAATTCTTTTTAATAAATTATTATCTTCAAATTGATTATTGGTCATATGGTCAAAAAGTTCTACATGGAATACTTACTGGACGTGATTGGTTAGAAAATAAAGTTATCTTTCCTCGGATTGTTTATTGTGATTTTACAATACGATCTTTAGGTGATAATAATTTAAATTATACTGTAAGTATACGTTGTAGTTGAGCAATTCAATCATTTTCTATTGTTTTAGGTTCAATGTGCTTTACCTGTGAATCTTTATAATGAACGTATATTTGCGTTCTATTGGTTTTGGTTAATATTTTTATCTATTGTTACATTTTATGGTATTCTTATTTGGTTTGGACATATGAGTTATCATGGTCGTCGTAGTTTTTTAAAGAAACATTTACGTATTAATTTAGAATTAGAATTAACTGACAATAATAAGCATTTATTTAATGGTTTTGTTAATCGACATCTTGGTGGTGATGGAATACTTTTCTTAAGACTTATTGCAAAAAATACAAATCCTGTTGTTGCTGGTAAGAAAATGAATTATTTAAATAAATAATATGATTTCTTTTTTTAGGTGAACTTGTAGAAATTATGTGGCAACGATATGTTAAACCTGTCGATAAAATTGAAGTTATTTCATCCAAAGAAAATTTAGTAGATGCTGATGTATATTTAAATGGACGACATAATTCGAAAAATGATTAATCAATAATTTAGCGTCATCTATATTAAAAAAAAAGATGTCTTTGTATATAATTGTTCTTCTCTTTCAGTCATTTGTAATAATCGAAGAGGTTTTTGTTTAATTGAAATAAATGAATGGATGAAATATATTTATCATATATATTATTGTTTTTTTAGATTTCTTCATAAAGAAAATGAGTCAACCGATCTATGATTCTAGACAAGGTCTATTAAAGAAAATTTAAAACTCTTTTTTTAATCGATATAATTTATTTAGGTGGCTTTCGTGTATTCATTGGTAATTTAGGTGCACGTACAAATATATCTGATTTACAACATGAATGTGAACGATACGGACCTTTAGTTGATTGTTGGGTAGCACGGTAAGTTCTAATAAGTAATATTCTTCAAATAATATATATATATATTACCCATTGAGTATGAGAAAAATTGTGTTTATTTTCAAATTCCGATCTTGCAGTTGCTGGTCGACAAAAAAATAACATCAGCAGCATCATTCTACACTTCTACCACGTTTTTCTGTCTTCTTCTATACATCGCAACAAGTTAATGAACTCATCATTATCTTCTCTTCTAAATCTTTCTTTCCGGCAAAAAAATAAACAGATATCAACATCCTTCTGAAAGAAAAATATACGTATTATTCACTTTTCGTCTATTCTAGCAATCCACCAGGATTTGCATTTGTACTTTATAAATATGGTGAAGATGCTGATTCAGCTGTTCGCAGTAAGTTTTTTTTTGTAATATATATTTGTTGAAATTATTAAATTTTTGTTCTTTTTAGATATGGATGGACGGTAGATAACAAATAGAAAATAGTACAACTTTATGTGAATTATTTATATTTAGTATGATTTGTGGACAACGTGTACGTGTAGAACATGCTAAAGCACGTTCAGGAAATTATCGAAATGCACCAGCATATGGTAGCTTTCGTGGTGGAGAGTAAGTGATAGGAAGATATTTTATTCTTATAATAAATGTTTTTCTAGTGGTGATGATGAACATGGTAGTGGTCGAGATGATGATCGAAGGTAGGATCTATTATTTTTTTTGTAAGTTAAATTTTCGAATGATAATTTGTTTTTTAGACGTCCACGTCGTCGTTCACGTGATCGGTATAATCTTATTTGTATCATTCTGAATACTATTTTATTTAAATTTCTTTTAGTCGTTCACGTTCTCGTAGTAGTAGTCATGGCCGTTCGAAAAAGAAGTATGTCTATATAGGAATTATGTTTCTTTAATTAATAATATATTTATCTAGATCATCTCGCCGTCGACGTAGTAGCCGTGATTCCAGTCGTGAAAGTAGTCGAGATCGTAGTTCTAGACGCAAACATAAGTATGTATAATAGTTTATTTTGTTTCTAGCAAATAAAATTCTATTTAGGAGTCATTCACGTGATCGAAGTGATTCGGATGATTCAAGTAGTGATCGTGATAAGAAACGTTCGAGACGTCGTCGAACAAAATCAAAATCACCAACTGATAAGAAAAGTACGCGTTCAAAACGTCATTCATCACGATCAGAATCGAAAGATAAAGATGATGATGATCAAACATCCAATCATTCAAAAGAAGGTTCAACATCACCAAAACGTGATCGACCCAATACTGTTGATGATGATAATGAAAGCGATCAACCAGTAAAATGAAAAAAAACAACATATAATTTCTTTTATTCTTTATTAATTCTAGAAATCATCACGTCGTAAATCTGATGATAGTGATGGAAGTGATAATGAAACTAAAAAAGCTACTCGTCGTAATTCAGGAGATGAAGATATGGATGATGATAAAGATGAACATGAATCAGATCATTCAAATAATGATAGCCACGATCAAAATTAAAAAAATTTCAAAAGAAAAAAAAACATTTTTCTTCTTTTTTTTTGTTGTTATGTTTATTCACATATTAGTGAAAATAGTTTGTATAATCATCATATTGACTTTAAACAAAAAATGTGTGTATAATTTTTTTCTTTTCTGTTTGACTCTCGTTCACATTTCTGTGTATGCTTTGACTAAGGAACAAGCAGATGATGATTGTTTGAAAAAATAAAAAATTTTGTCATATGTTGATCTTGAAAGAAACTTTTCACGGGTTTACATCAGATTGTGATAGATGATATATATATATTGCAAATTATATAAAAAAATGTTTATTTTAAATGTTTGTTTTAATTAACCAATTATCTTCTAATTGTTGAAGCCATTGAAACATTAAATTGAATGCTTGTTCACGAACAGATTGTTTTGATAAGAAAATATCATGTTTAGCATTTTCAATTTCATGAATTGTTACTTGTGGACCAATGGTAGCAGCCATAGCTTTCATAGTTATAACATCAAGTATAAGATCAGCTAAAATAAAATATTAATGAATTATTGTATATAGAGAAAACTGAATTTTGTAATACCTTCAGCAAATTCATCACGCCATGTCTTCTCTGATTTTAGCGATCGATTTGAACACATAAACAATACTGGACATGGAATTGAAATTCGTTTTTTTTCTAAATCTTCTTGAATTGTACGTACTGCACATAAAAATGAACCATGTAATGGAATTTTATCTATTGGTTTTTTATTTAAATCAAAATTCCATTCTCCTCTAGCTGATATATGTATTGATTTTCCATACCAACCACCATCTACATTTTCAGATTTACGTAGTTTCGTAAGGACACCCAAAAGTACTGTTTCAAAAAAAGTTGTTTTCATTGCAGTTAAATAAGGACTATTGAGTATAACAGCATCTATATCAGCATGTCTTGAACCAGATGATGCATATAAAGTAGCAAGAAGACCTCCTATTTTTTTAGATAAAATCAAAATATTTATTCTTTCTTATTATTATTTCTTACCAGTTGAATGTCCGAAAAGTAGGATTTTTCTTTCTTTATCTTTTGCTTCTTTAATAATATGTTCAATTGCAAGTGTAATTTCTTCATCATATTCATGAAGATCAGTACAATAATGTTTGTATTTATCTTGTTCAGGTGAAATTATTGATCGGCCACATTTACGCATATCAAGTGCATAGAAATCATATCCATGTTCCAAAAAACGTGTACAAACATGATCACTATATTTACAAAAAAAAGGTCTATTCATAAAACAATTGACTTATGATTACTTACTGGAAATAATAATCAATATATCCATGTAAATAAAGAATTGCTTTATAAAAATGTTGTTTGCTTTTATTTGCTGTTCGAGCATGTAACAAAGTAGCTTTATTCGGACCTAGATTATCTGGTTTAAGTGTAAAAATAGTTGTTTCATAGTCAATATCGAGTTTTTGCGCCATAGTGATAAGATTTGTTGATTTTTAACAACGTGGTTTCTTTTAAGAAGAGAGAGAGAAAAAATGATGTCAGGTTTTTTTTTCTTTTTCTTTTTCTTTTATAAAGAAAACCACCCGTGGATATATTAGATGTTTTTATGACGTAGGTAACGGTAAAAAGAATATAAAAAAAATCGACATGTGACGACTGTCAATAGTAGTCAATGATGTGTAAAAAAAATTTATATGTAGCAGAAAGAAGCAAAGAAAACCTTATAAAAAACGAATAAAGTATTGAAGTTTAATAAATTTCTAATTATCAGTTTTTGACTTTGTAGTTGATTGCGAATCGATATTCTAACAATACAATGTTCCTATGTAACCGGCTGTTGCATTATCATGTAA